AATCCCAGCACCCACATGGCAGCTAATAACTGTTTGTAACTCCAGTCCCAGGGGATCTGACAGCCTCTTCTGACCTCCGTGGGCATTGCACAACACAGGTGCACTTACCTACATGTAGGCAATACACACATAAAATAAAAATAATAAATAAAAATTTTTAAAAAGACACCTTTATTGCCTTCCTCATTCCAAATTTATCCCTTTGCATAGCTGGCATTTGCCAAGGCTGAGAACACCTATGGCCTTTCATTATAGTTTCAAAACAGCTTTATAATCAACTATATTCTACAACTTAGAGGGGGGGGAACCCAATGACACAAAATCATTAGAAATGTGAAAAATTACACTATCATATAAATTGGTTTTATTAACTTTCAAAATAAATGGAAAACCTATAAAAACACAGAACACATCTCAGAGGCAAAAACTCTGTATCCCAAACAGAAAACATGTCAAAAACTACGAGCAGCTGTTGAATCTAACTCTGGGATCAACTCAGGGACAGTAACAACTGGCCTCATAGGATATGCCTGCTAGTGGCATGGATGTTATGGAAGTAACCAACCACATTCTGATTGGATTTAAAGCCCAATCCACAAGATGGAACTTACGTGTGGTACTGTTAACTGGGCCTCAAACCTGTGACTGGCTAGATCATAGGCCATAGGTAAGAACCTAATACTATTACTCTGCTAAATGGACATAGTATTAAACTGTCCCCTAAATTCTTATCTTTATACCCACAGATTAGTGCATGTTTCATCCCTCACCAGAGAAGTTTCTTTTTGGTAGATGGGGATCAATACAGAAAATAACTATGGAGTACTCAGCTGTAAATGGGATCTCTTCATCACACCCCTTCCCCAAAAGGCTCAGGGGACAAAGAGACGAAAAGAATGTTAAGAGCCAAAGGTAGTGGACATCTACACCAAAACATTATTTGTTGGACATGGCAGGGACACTGTGCACACATACTCAAAGCAGCTGTGACTGAACGTACAAGACCTACATAAGATCAAAGCAGCCAAAACCCCAGCATGAAGTCCCACCCCTAGCTAAGATGCAGTGACAACTGATGAGGCCCCTACAAGGGTACCCCTGCTCCAGTAGCTGGTATTATACCCATATACATAAAGGCAGCACTAAGTGTACTCAGTAAGTTTAAAAGAAGAGAGAAAGTAGATGAAGTTGGGAGGGAAAAGTAGTGAGAAGGATAGGGGAAGAATTAAGAGGGAATAAGGGGTGGATTTAATCAAAGCACATGGATGAAACCCTGAATAAAAAAAAAAAAAAAAAAAAACAAGAACTAAACTGCACCCACCCAAACATAGGAATGATTTTCATTAGCTGAAGGGCTAATACATTAATAATTGCTTAAGCCTTAGAATTATTGTGGAAGGCCAGGGGTGGTGGCACACATCTGTAATCCCAGTACTTGAAAGGTAGAGGCAAGAGAATCAGGAGCTCAAAACCAGACTTGGTTACAGAGCCAATGGGAGGCCATTCTGGAATACAAGACCTTGTCTATTTAAAAAAAAAAAAAAAAAGGTCGGGGGGCAGGTAGTAGGTAGTATTACTTAACCTAGTTAAACTCCTAGTACACCAGGATGTAAACCAACAAGAATGTCAAAAATACTGGGAGGTGAAGAGATGATACTGCTTTTACAGGGCTTTTTATACAACACTCAATTCTAAGCCTTTTTTCAAAATCTAACCCCTAGATTTCAATCCATGCTTCACATAAACCCTGTGCGATGGCACACACCTGTAATTCCAGCACTGGGAAAGAGAGAGCAAGAGGATCATAAGTTCAAGATCATTCTTGGCTGCAAAGCCAGCTGGGCTACATGAGACCCTGTCTCAAAAACAAAAAATTTCAACTTTAAAAATAAGTGTTTTTAAGGGGCTGGAGAGAGAGCTCAGCAGTTAAGACCACTGACTGCTCTTGCAGAGGACCCAGGTTCAGTTCCCAGGACCCACAGGGTGGCTAACAACCAGTTATAGTTCCACTTCCTGGGGATCTGATGCCCTCTTCTGGCCTCTGAAGGCATTGTACACACAGGTGAATTTATATACGTGCAGGCAAAACTCTCATACACATAAAATAATAAATAGACATGTATTTCATATTTTATTTATGCATACAAATATATAAAACCAAAAAGTTCTAACAAATTGAATGTAGTTTTAATTTAGTTTAAATGTGTATTACTATATGCATATACTTCAATATTTTCATTCTATTTTGCTGTTTAATTTTTTTAAATGTTTTCTGTTTTTGGTTTTGGTTTTTTTGGGCTTTTTGAGACAGGGTCTCCCTGTAGCCCCAGCTGTCCTGGAACTCACTATGTAGACCAGGCTGGCCTTGAACTCACAGAGATGGGCCTGCCTCTGCCTCCCAAGTGCTGGGATTAAAGGCATGCGCCACCACGCCTTATATTAAAAATCAAGTCACTACCCACTAACAAACACAAGCCTGCCATGTGAGAAACAATTTACTAGTACCACATCACTGAACGCTCACTACATTGTACACAGGCTCCAGTGTACAAGTGTCCCTAACAATGACTTCCTGACAGTATCACAGAGACAAACACTGTTGCTATCAGGGTACAGTTGCCTAAGTCTGCCCTTTTCCTCCGAGAAGTGAAATGAAAGATTAAAATCTACTTTCTCAAGATTCTACTGACTCCCAAAGTATGCACTGGAGATAAAGAGTTTCTTGAGAAGTTCCACATACAAGGAGAATTTCTCCAAAAATATGACTGATAACATCATAACTAAAGTATAGATGAATTAGAAAGCCCAGTTCTTCTCTCTTAAACAGAATAAAACATACTCAGTATGATTTTAATTCTCAGCAGAAAGGTGATAACTATGAAATCAAATAATATCTGAGCTAATAAGAAATCTCAAGTTTTGAAGCTGGAGAGATGACTCAGTGGTTAAGAGTGCTGGCTACACAATACTGAGGACCAGAATTTGGATCCAAACACTCATGTAATAAGTTAGGTGTCCCATAAATGCCTGTAACTCTAGCTCTGAAAGATCTGAAGCCCTCTTCTGGCCTCCACATGTGCTGGTGCATACACACGCACACACACACACAAATAAAATAAATTTAAAAAATAATAAAAGTTGAGTTTTTCTGGGGGATACAATTTAATAGTACAGTACCTACCTAGTAATGTGAAGTCCTGGGTTAGATCTTCAGCACCCCCTAAAAAAGTTGTAAGTCAAGGCCAATAAAATGGCTCCTCAGATAAAGGTACTAGGTGCCAAGCTTGATGACCCAAGTTTGATCCCTGTGACCTACATGGTAGGAGAGAACCAATTCCCTCCTACAACGTGTCCTTTGACTTCCACATGTGTACCATGGTATACACACATGCACACACTATGGCTCATACACACATACACACATGCACACAGATAAATAAAGGCAATTAAAAAAACTTTTTAAGTAAGTCAAAATCCCCACCTTTTCTCCAAAAAGGTCATATATTATATATTACATATAATAATATACATTATTTTAAAAATCAGCCCTCCTCCCCATAAATGTTTCTTTCTTTGCCACCCTCCCAACTTTAACTTACATTTTTATGACATGAAGAACAAACAGATGTTTCTAAAATGTGCTCCAAAGCTTCTTGGTGGTTGCCATTACTGTCTCCTCTTATATCATCAAGTTGGTGCCCTTTTCTGAGCCTTATATCTGGCTCCGGAGTCCTGGTGCACCCCAATCGGTGTTCTGCTGACTCGTTCATGGGATACCAAAGCCTTTCTTACAAAGTGGTCTTTCTTCTGTCCCTTCTTACTTGGGAGAATGGATTTTTCAGGACAGTAAGTTGACCCTATGGAAAGAAGTTATACACCACATGAGTACTGGGCAAAGACATGACATTATTATACACTCAAGCAACAGAAAATTCAATCACTGAGTAAAGAATTTCAAAATCTATACTCACTGATAATAAAGATTGCCAAAACCTATTTTTAAATAAAAAAGGCAACATGTAGGGGCTAGAGAAATGGCTCACTGGTTAAGAACAAGAGGATCCGAGTTCAATTCCCAGCACCCACATGGCAGCTAAGAACTGTATTAGACTCCAGTTCCAGGGGAATCCGACACCTTCTTCTGACCTCCAAGGCACTGCACAACACAGGTTCACTCACATACATGCAGGCAATATACTCATACACATAAAAAAATATTTTAAAAGGCAACGTGTATAATGTTTCCCACTTATGTTAATTATAAAAATATGTCATTACATGTAAGTATATATGCACATATAATCACTAGAAAACATTCAAAACCAAGTTCCTGGCATAGAAGTACATAAAGAAAAACTCGAAGAGTTTAGCAGAGTTACATTTTACTATGCTTTGCCTGTACTTTTTTCTTTTATCATGTAGGTTTTTGTTTTTGTTTTGATTTTTTTTTTTCCAGTTAAAGATACACCTAAGGCCCATCTTGGTGCTGCATGCCTTTAATCCCATCACTCAGGAGGCTGAGATATACCACTTGCTAGAGAAATGGCTCAGTGGTTAAGAGCACTGGGTGCGCTTACAGAGAACCTGGGGTCAGTTCCCAGCACGCACATGGCAGCTAGGAACTGTCTGTAACTCCAGTTCCAGGGGATCTGACACCCTCTTCTGACCTCTGTGGGCACTGCATGACAGATACATACATGCAGGCAATACACTCATACACATAAAAAATATTTTAAAAAGCAAAAAGAGAAAGTAAATTGGCATTATTTTAGAGAGTAATTTGAAAATACCAAATACAATTACAAATCCCCATAACCTCCAAAATCTCGAAGCAATAACTACTCTCCTGGAAAACTTTAATCTTAAGGACCTAACTTCTAACTTAGTAAGTACACACACATAACAGTTTCCCAAAACATTTTATCTCCCTGCAATTCAACCTAATACTTATGTTTTCTATTTTCAGCTTCAAACTGATTCCACAACCCTTCTAAGTGAGTCATATAGGCTGACAACACTTGCATGGCTGAGCACATGCCTGTAATCTTAGCACTCTGGCGGCAGAAACAGGGAACTGGTGTTCAAAGTCAGCCTGGATTATATAGAGTCAAAGGCCAACCTGAAATATATAGCAAGACCATGTTTGCAGGGCTGAGGGTGTATAGGTCAGTGATAAGAGTACTTGCCTCACATGCATGAGGCCCTGGGTTCCATTTCCAGTACCACACACAAACAACAAACTTGCCAAAGATCTTAAATACAGGCACAAGAATTCCTGATGAGGAATGCTCTATGTGCTATTGGGATTTTGTTGTTTTGTTTTTTTATTAAATTTATTTATATGTGTGCAGGTCAGAGGGCAACTTGCAGAAGTCAGTTCTCTCCCTCCACCACGTGGGTCCTGAAGCGCAAACAAGTTATCAGGTTCAGCAGCAAATACCTTTATCCACTGAGCCATCTCCCTGGCCCTAGTACTGTTTTTGTTTTGTTTGTTTTAGGGTTTGCTGTTTTTGTGTTGTTGTTTTGTTTTTTGTTTTTGAGACAGGGTCTCCCCATAGCCTCATCTGGCCTAGAACTCAATATGTAGACCAGGCCGGCCTTGATCTCATAGAGATCCTCTTATATCTGCTTCCTGAGTGCTTAGATTAAAGGCATGCACCACTTTGTCCAGCACCTGGCACTGTTTTTAATTCAGGAAAAACTGGAAAGTTCTAATTGTTTTGGGCAGTACTGGAGATTGAAGCTAGGGTCCCACACAGGCTCAACAAGTTCTCCACTACCTAGCTATATCCTCCAGGACTATTGTGTATTTGTTTGTTTGTTTGTTTAAGATATAGTCTCCCTAAGATGCTCAGTGAGGCCTTGAACTTATGATTCTCCTGCCTCAGCCTCCCAAGTAGTTGTGACTACAGGCCTGTGTCACCAAGTCTAACTTAGAAACAATCTAAACACCTATCAAAACTAGAATAAACTTAAACTGGCAGGCAGATGTGGTGATATACAACTTTTCTCTAGTACTCGAGCAGCAGGGGCACAAGATTTTAGTTCAAGCACTCTAAAGCTGAGGCAGGTGGATCTCTGTGAGATCAAGGCCAGACTGATCTACATTTTGAGTTCCAGACCAGCTGGGGCGACAAAGAGATCATGTCTCAAAACAAAACAAAAAATTTAAAGTGGCTAAATTCATACAATATGATCAGGTGTGATGACTCAAATCCATAATCACAACTTGAGGCTAAGGTAGCACTGTCATGAGTTTCTAGCCAACCTGAGTCACATGGTGAGTTCCAAGCTGGGGGGGTTGGTGAAGGAGAAGAAGACCAGGAGAAAGGGAGACGGGGGGTGGGGGGGACAGCAGGGGAGTGGGAATGGCACAGTCCTGTAATCCCAGTAGTCAAAGATAGAAATAAAGAGGATCAAGAGGCTCAAAGTCATCCTCAGCTATACAGTGAGTTTGAGGCCAGTCTAGGTCACAAGAGACCATTTCAAAAAAGAAAACATTAGAGGAAGCTGGGGGTGGTGACACATGACACATGGTTGTAATCCCCACCTTAGGCTAAGGGGGAAGAATCAAAAGTTAGAGGTCACGCCTAGGCTACATTATAAGACTTGAAAAAAAAAAAAAAAAAAAAAAAAAAAAAAAAAAAAACCAGTAAGGTTAGGGATGCAGCTCAGTGACAAGAGACACATACTTAGCATGCACACAGCCCTGAGTTCAATCCCCAACACCAGCAAAACAAGAATAAACAACACAGTAGATGCCAACTTACTGATATAGATTATGTGCTATATGACAGGTGCGGTAGCACATACCTTTAGTCCCAACACTGAGGAAGCAGGAACAGGTAGATCTCTAGGAGTTCAAGGCTAGCCTAGTCTACACAGTTAAGTCCAGGCCAGCTAGGGCTACACAGTAAGCTCCTGTCTCAAAAAATAAGGAGCTAGAAAAATAGCTCAGTAGCAAAGGGTGCTTATTCTTGCAGCGACCCAAGTTTAGTTCCCAGAACCCACATCAGGTGGCTAACAACCGCCTCTAACTCCAGCTTGCCTTAGGAGAGCACCTGCACTCACGTGTACGTATGTACACAGTACCACACACATACTTAAAAACAAAACCTAAAATATATATATATATAAATAATAATTAATTAAAATGTGCTCCAGGCATTGTGGCACACACCTTTAATCCCAGCACTCGGGAGGCAGAGGCAGGCCGATCTCTGTGAATTGAAGGCCAGCCTGGTCCACATACTGAGTTCCAGGACAGCTGGGGCTACAGGGAGACCCTGTCTCAAAAAGACCAAAAAAAAAAAGTGTTACTATAAATGTCAACATGGCATCATCTGCCAAGCTCCCAAGCGCTATTTCTGGTTACATCCAGAAGAACAATTCCATGCCATAGCCAAGACAGAAGAAATTCAATGTGGAGAAATCAAATTACAACCAAATAAACCCAGCAAAGAACTGAGCTAATGACATTTACTGCTGATTTAGATACTGCTGCCCCAAATCATCTAGATAACGTTCCTCAAGAGCTGAAAGATCTGCTTTCCCACAATTATGCCTTGAATCTAGATCTAATAACATTTTACAAAGCTGTGATCTCACTGAAATAAGAATTATATCAATCACCAAGTCTGCTAGATGAATTGAACTCCTGCTGCCCTAATAAACTCCTAAAGCTTTACATAATTTTATCATAACTGAGATCAAGAATGTAAGTGCAGGAGCTGGAGAAATGGCTCAGCCATTAACAGCACTTGCTGCTCTTGCAGAGGACCCAGGTTAGGTTCTCAGCACCCACATGGCAGCTAACTACAAACTGTAATTCCAGTTCCAGGGAATCTAATGCCCTCTTCTAGCCTCCACAGGTACTGCACACACATGTAGCACACTTATATACATGCAGCAAAATAATCCACATAAAATCAAATTTGTTTTTTGGGGGAGGGTGACAGGGTCTCCCTGTAGCCCCAGATGCCCTAGAACTTGCTATATAGACTAGGCTGGTCTCAGTCTCACAAAGATCAGCCTGCCTCTGCCTCCTGAGTGCTGGAATTAAAGGCATGTGCCACTATACCTGGTTTACAAAATTACTTTTTAAAAAGAACAAAATGAATTTTGTTGTTGTTTTATTTTATGTGTATGCATGTATTTGCCTGCATGTAGGTAAAGTGCACCCATGTCGTGCAGTGCCCTTGGAAAACAGAAGAGACTATCAGATCCCCTGGAACTGGAATTACGGACAGCTGTTAGCTGCCATATGGGTGCCAGCATTTGAACCTGGGTCTTCGGCAAGATCAGTCAGTGTTCTTAACCGCTGAGCCATCTCTCCAGCCCTGTTGTTGTTTTTGAGACAGGGTCTCACTATATAGCACTGGCTGGCCTGGAACTGGCTATGTGGACCAGGCTGACCTGAACTCACAGAGATCTGACTGCCTCAGCCTCCCAAAGTGCTGGGATTAAAGATGTGTACCACCCACCACATCCTGGCTAAAGGAATTAAATTACAGAATTTCATGTATACCACATTAAGAAACAATGCAACTACAGCCAAAATATCTCTGGACGTGATAGCTGACCTCCAGATAAAGAACACCTGGAGTGATGGCAAAACTGCCAGTGTTATAACTGCATTAACTGAATGTTTCTCTAAAGTCACTAAGATAATGGTTGCTGCTTTGACCTTTTTTTTTTTTTTTTTTTTTTTAGACAAAGTGTTCCTTTGTAAGCTAGGCTGGTTTTGAATACTTTGCCTCCTGAGTGTTGGGATCAAAGACCTTTGTCACCATGCCTGGATTTTGTTGTTGTTGTTTTATTATTTTTATTTTATGTTTAAGAGTGTATTGCCTGCATG